ATACATACATATATTGGGAAAACAGGACTAAATTTCTGTAGTCATCTGCTTTAGGAGCCTGGAGAATGGTAGATGGATACGTCTTACTGATACGACCATCCCAGTTCAGACACAGACCACTAATCCCCTCCATCATAAACAATGAATGAGGTTGCAGAGATCAAAATGACAGCGGTTTTGCACAGCTAGTGGGACCACCTTTTGTAGCTTTAGGATCCGTAAATAATACATGTTGCATTCCTTTGTGGGCATTTATTCCTACATGACTTGCAATTTTCAAACTTCAGATCCATCACAAGAATTACCATAAATATGAGTTTGGTTCTCAGTCGATTTCTTTATTGAGAAAAGTCATTGAAACCTTTCACATGATGGTAAGAGGTATTTTTCTGACAAGTTAAATTTTCTGACAAGTTAAGTTTTCCCTTTTTTCTTTTCCTGTCGTGTGTCAAAACTTGACATGGTCCTTTAAACATCCCAAATAAGTTACACAAACATTCAGATATGCGGAAAATAAAAGGACATTGTGCAGCTGCAAAAACTAATTAGGAACAACAAGGAAAAGCTAATTTCCCTTAAAAACACCATAAACTGGCAAGCATGTTATACTGAGGCACACCAAATACTTCAGATCTGTCCCGCTATAGACAAAAGAACATTCAATAGCTTACCAAAAAGAGTTACGTTATTCTAAATCTTTAACAAGATGTTTATATTTTACAATCTTAAAAGTTAGACAGGCATTTGCACCTTTGAAATACAGATTCTGGAAAGTAGTTGCAGAGTTAGGTTCTTTACAGTCTGATATAATGATTATAAGGTGAACGCTTTTTAAAACAATAGAAGTGTTGTACACTTTAAATTGGTATTTCTGACTGTGTTCATTGACTGATACTAAATGCAGAAGGTAAATAATTTGAAGCTGTAATGACAAATTCTGGTGAAAAAAAAATCCCGATAATTTTCAATTTCTCAGATAAAAAAATGAACAAGTAATTTTCATTAATCGCTTTGCTATTACAGTGTATACTCAAACGGAGAATGGAAATATTAAAACATTAAAAAGCAGCTTTTCAAATATTTCCTCTTATGCCAGTTCACAATATAAGATAATCACTAGCTGTGCCTATTTAGTTATTTTTCCTTGCATGTCTGTAGGTTAAAACATGCAGTTTTTAACTCTCCATGGGGTCTAAAAACTCGTTTTCAATGATATCCTCCAGTTTTCTTAGGACCGCGTGTGAGCTGGCTGCAGGGTAGGCTGCTACAGGAAAGTGGGCATCAGGCTGGCACCAGGAGGGGGGAGGGGCCTGGAAAGAGCAGCAAAGGGTGTGCAGGAAAGGCAGCAGCTGGGTGATGGAGGACAGTGAGCGCTGAGTGAGGAGGGGGAACTCCAAATGTTCCGTTGAGGATTCCTCGCTCAGCCCATTCAGAGCCTGAAAGAGAGTGAAAGTCATAAATTAAAAAGATCTGTAAACTGTGCAATGCTGCTGATTGTGGCAGGAATTTTAGCTTGCCTTTATATTCCTCTAAACCAGTATCACACTGGGCTTGTTATGGAAATATTTATTTAAAGTGTATCTTCTCCCTGTAAAAGACTGTAAAAATACTGTAGGTTGTTCAGTTTTTATTATTTTTTAAACTAAAAGTTTTTTAAACTAAAAGTTTAAAAATATATTACACGGA